ATGCACAACAATTGAACATCACAGTATCTACCATCTTTAGATGACAGCCCTCATCATGACTGAGTGGACCATGGATAAACAGTTTTTATTTTTAAGTATCTTGACTCTCTTGAATGTATGTAGTTTAATTTGGGGGATAGGATTGACCTAAGTAAGTTGATTCATAGATTGACCAATAAAACATGAAGTGGACCCTTGTGAAGGGATATGATGTATATTTTTTCTTAGCAATTCAAACTAGATAAAAAAAATAGCATGAATTAGGTAGTACTGAGAATAAAAAGGTGAAATTGTAGAGCAAATTCATGGGGTAAGAGCATAATGGCCATTGGTAAGCCAAAATCATGCAAGAACAGAAACAAATCCAGAAGGAAGTCATGAAGTTGAAAACATCTTTGCAGAATAAAAAACAAAGTACTAAAACAAAACAAACAAACAAAAAACTTCAGTCTGTTTCCAAGGCCCATGCAAATAGGAATATAGAAACTCTTATCAAAAAGGAAAAGCTGGCACTAGAGAGTGAAAATATGCATGGCTCTCACTGTCATATTTCATAGAGTTCCTTTAACCCTAAGTGGTGTTCCAGTTCCATTTCCTATGAGGCTAAGTGATATTTCATTAAGATTCTTTGTGTGAAGTAATGCTCCTTTTCTTAGTCAAGAGAACTGAATATGGGTAGTTTAATCAAAATTTACAATTTATTTCAAGATTATAACAAGAAAAAAATGCACCAGACAGAATAAAACAGGAATTATAATAGAGGTCAACATATTGCACAGGGGAGAAAGAGTGAATTCAACTTCTTTAAACAAAAGGCAGGTGAGTTTTAAGCTCTGGGGTGAGCTACTGAAAAAAATACGGGACTTTAGAAGGAAGGTCAATCCATGTAATTAAGCCATTTTTGTTTGCTGGTTCGTGCTTATTCAAGTTAGGGTTCTACCTCACAAATTGGAAGATAGGGACTTTCTCTTCTTTGATTGTATTTCAGAGCGATAACTCCCAGGTGCTTGAGAGACATTTCTGGGTTGTAAAACAGGAAAGAGTCTGGGACAAAATTTACATCTTAAGGGGCAGAGAAAGAATTTATAGTTGCAAGTGTTCTAAAGTAAATGCTCTAAGAAAAGGAGGGCTGAGATCTGTAGTCAGGAACAAGTCATCTAATCAAACTGATGATTAAGACCATCTTGGTTAATTATCTTAGTAACTCATAGAGCTAAAGGTTTGAAAACCAAGCTTCAGGAAGGCAGGAAACAGAGACTGCAGAGACCCTGGCAGCAAAATGCCTGTGTCTTCTTTCCAAACTGCCGTCATTAAAGTGTCACAGTTTCCTGTACACTGAAAATCACCAAGAACATCTTTGACCTAATTTAGGTAGGATACACATATATTCATTATGTTCATTCATTCATTCATTGAACAAATATTTACTGAGTAACTACAGTGAACCACACACCATTCTCAATGCTAGGGATTTATGCATCGATAAACGCATAAACAAAATGTTTAAAATTATCTAACTCACAAAGCTCATATTCTAGAGATATGGCAAAAGATTACAGACCAAAATAAATACATGAAATGTATACTATATAGGGGGCATTAATTTACATGAAGGAAATTAATGCAAAGGGAAGGAAATATACTACTTCCTACCACAGTTAGATATACCCAGTGTATATTTCCCCAGCCACTCTGAGTCTACTTGATGGGTAATGATCAAATTTCAGGGAATCATAATGAGATGGAGAAATAATCAAATCATTGGTTGCTCACAGTCTCTGACATCTGTTTCTATACAACACACTCTTGAGTTATTATGAGTGTTTTTATATACTTTGTAAATTAAATACCTACATTAGTTTAGGATGTCTAAGAACATATTAAAAGTATTATGAAAGGCTATCTTACAACATTAATATTGGTTAACTTGGCTGGTAGCTTATGGGTAATATTTTGGTCTCTCTTTTTTCCATATTTTATAAATTTTCATCAATGGACATATTCACCATGATAATTGGAAAACATTTTAAACTTTAAAATTGTAACTTTTTATATAACTTTATCATATCATCATAATATTAATTTTTAGTAGTAGGTGCTTTAATTTTCTTTATTTTATTTAACTCTAAAAAATGAGAAGTCAGGGCTTCTGGGAAGTCAGGGCTAGAATATAAAAGACCTTGTTTGCACATTGAGGAGTTGACAATCAGAGGAAATTCTTATCATCCACAAATCCAAATGCTTATATAAACCTTATCCTTATATGCTTCAAACCATTAGATTGTGCAGTTTCAGATTATTTTCATATTTATTTTGCAAATTTTCTGGAGTAAAATTGCATTCATTTTAAAAATAGAAGAAAATAATTTTGAAATCCTGATCTCAAAGTTGATCAAACAATATACTTGATTTAGGGAAGCCATTGTAGTTCCATGAAGTTATGTTCTATAATTTTCACTTCCTTTAAGGCTTTTAATCTAACACTGTTCCTCTTTTAAAATAATATCAAAACAATTTCCAATAAGTAAATATTAAGTGCAAGGAAAGTAATTATATCAATATGATGGCCTCCACATCTGTTGAAAAAGGATGTGTTTTACTATTGCTACGTAAGGTCAAGTTTGAAAAATGATGGCATGCTGCCGTACACTTGCATATGTTTTTTTACTTGACTGGTTAGCTATTTACTCTTTGACTTGTTTATGGCTTTCCTAATTGGGTAGAAAAGGTGTAGTTACTCACCACAATATAAAATATTGAAAGGTGACAGAAAGAAGGCACTTTACTAGTCTCTTGGGAAAGAAAATTGCTTATCTGTAATTGTTTTGCTCTCTGAAGAAATATATCAGACTGCCACTTCCACATGAATCTCCTGGTTATAGTGTGACCCACTATTTTAATGTCAACAGAAACAAACCCATGTAGAGTTTCTCTGGCTTTTGTATGCTCTAGTTAACCCGAGGGACCTTTAAGCTACAATTTGTACACGAAGATGGCAGCATGACACAGAGGAGGGTAGGGATTGATTTGTAAGTCGTGTCCTAGCATGCAGAGTGACAAACAGCGGACAGAAGCAGCAGAGACAGGGAAAGGAAAGTAAAAATAAAATATACACCCATCATCTTACCTAAAAGTGGACATGTAGTAGGACATTGATGAAATTAATGTTATAAAATTCTAAATACACTGGCACCCAGAGCCTGGATGAGGATCATAACTAGTTGTTCACTCATTCCATGACTATTTATTGCTTACTTATGATATGTCAGGCTCTGTATTATATAATGGAGATATACTAAGTGAACAAAATAGATGTGATCTCTGCATTTATACAGAATGCTCAACTAAAAAAAGTAAATTGATATAATGTAAAAATATATAAGGAGTTAAGTAAGTGTAAGGTTTGGGGAGATTCAGAAAGAGGAAACACTATCAAGGAAGGCCAGAGAAACAACGAGAGGGATGAGCTGAATGCAGTTTTGTCTGCTGGAATATGGCAAGTGTTGAAACTAGAGTAGGGAGCTGGGCAGGTGGCACACTTTGTACATCATGGTAAACCAGAAATGACACCCAAGTAAATCCAAGCTCATTCTTCTTTCTAATATTACTCATCAAATGCCTGCAACATTACATGCTGTTTAAGATGCAAAGAAAATAGAACTATTTTTAACCTCTGTATCTCTAATTTGGTAAGACAGAAAGCCAAACAAAAGAGTATCAGTACAGGGTGTAAGAGCTAGAAATGCTGAAGAAACACGAAGGAAATTGAGGAGGAGAGTCTAGTTTGAGAAAATGGTAAGAAGTGATTTTTGGTTTTTGGTTAAGAAGTGACCTTTTGGTTATAAAGGTCATGGAGAGCTGGTCAAGTGGCAATGGACAGGACATTTGACAGAGTGAGGATGGATGGCCAGTGGTTTAGATGCACGGGCACGAGCAACAAGGTATTCCCAACTGCACATGCAATGATTTGACAACAGCAGCGTTTTCCAAAGAGTGTTTCAGGAAAAAAAAAAAAACAACTGTGAATTGGAAGCACTTTATTTCCTTGTTGGAAAGTTGTAATCCTCATTAGCATAGTGTGGAATCTGAAACAAAAGTACAGTGATAAAAACTGTTTTAACTATTTATGCATCATTTTTTATTGGTTGTTCAAAACATTACAAAGCTCTTGACATATCATATTTCATATATTAGATTCAAGTGGGTTATGAACTCCCATTTTTACCCCAAATACAGATTGCAGAATCACATCGGTTACACATCCACATTTTTACATAATGCCATATTAGTAACTGTTGTATTCTGCTACCTTTCCTATCCTCTACTATCCCCCCAAAATTATTTGACCACAGAATATTCTCCACTCTTCTTCTTTGGATTTACAAAACCTGCTAACAATCCATGAAACAATTTGAAATCGATAGAACCTAGAATGGATGGTGAAGAGAGTCAGAGGATGTGGACTCACAAAAGCTGTGATCTACCAGATTCATCATTTGGAGATAACTTCACTGAATGTTTCCTCCAGTGTGAAAGATCAATGGAGTGACACATTCAGCTTTACTCATCTCCTTTAAATATGTTTTCTTTAGGCTTTGCATCACTGCAGTCAAAAGACCTGACAAGAAAAATTTTGAGCAGGAAACATTTATTTTAGCTCCTGGTTTCAGAGGTTTGAGTCCATGGTCAGTAGACTCCATAGCTCTGGATCTGAGGTGAGGCCAAATGACATGGTTTCAGGGCATGACAAAGGAAAGTACCTTCTTGCCTTATCTCACATATAGAGATTTTTGGGCAGACCTCATATCTAAGCCATAACCAAAAGGTCTGTGGGGAAAGACTTATCTGAATGGTAAACTTAAGAAGATTAAATGAGAATATGAAGACAACTGCATCATTCCTCCTCTTAAAGGTGCAACCAACTAGGGGTGTTTCTCCAGGTAGGAAAATTTACTCTAGTTCAACATCCCCTAGGGACCTGAGGGAGATTTTCCTATTCTGGATTCAACATTAAGAAAGCACATATACTCAAATTTTAATGATGCAGTGAATATTAGCATGGCCCCTGTGTGAGGATGACATGCAAATTCTTAGAGTGTTCCGTATTTTTATTCTGAGCTCCAGCCACTTAGAGAAATTGGGGTAAAGTTTTATGGCCTAAAAGCTACTGAGGAAGCAGGTGGTGCTGAGGGAAACCCCTCTGGCCACTCTGAAAATAGAAGAGAAGTTTACATCCAGCTTTATTCAGGAAGGAGTTCAGTCCAAAAGCTGCCACTGTCTAAGGGATCCCTCTAGAGAAAAGTTCAAAGGAATTGGCTAATACCAGTTGGTTGAGGACCATGTCTGTGGAGCTTACATGGTGTCCAATGAGCAAAGTGAAGTTATAAAGACAAAGGAGGGAGATATTTCCAAGGACTCTCACTCCTATCTGAATAAGAAAGATAACCCCAGTTTCCAACTGGACAATAGCCGTCGCTGTGATTTTGATGGAATGAAAGGAAAGGTAGTCAGACAACAAAAAATAAATATTACCATCACCATGCCCAGTAACCTTTACTGCTAAACCTAATACATATTTTCTTAGTTTAAGTGGGCATTAAGTATGCATGCTTGTGGATTCAGAATTTGTTCTTTAAAGTTCTACTTGGACATAGTTTAAATGTCCACCCACAGGAAGCAGGTGAATGCATTATGGTTCATCTGCATGACATTGTGTTTCATACCTGTAAACTGAGTGAGGAAGACCTTTATACTCTGATAATACCAACTGGCTGCTTTCTGAAATGAGGAGCCAGATGAAGAACTATGTATGGATTATGCCAAAGTTTTTCCAAGTATGTAGAGGAATAAAAATACAGGAACAGAATACATGCAAATTTTAGAAGAAAAGCTTCTAAAATAGTGGCTTTATTCTTGCAAATATAAATGTTTCACATAATTAGTAAACATTGTTGAATCAAATTAAATATTTTAAAAACACAAAAATTGAAAAGTGAAAAAATGAGCCAATATTCAGTCGGGACCTCTGTGAAAATGAAATATTCAAGTGAATTGAAAATATATAATTTTGATTTTATACTGTAGAGGCAAAACTATCTGTCAGTAAAGCTTAAATTTTGTTTACATTTAAATTTTGTTTACATTTTTATTAATATTTAACAAAAAATAGAAAGCACATTTAACTACAAGAATAAACCATATCTCCAACATAGATTCATTAGTAATAAGAGAGACATCTTAGTTATCTATTCCTCATTTGCTTTTTTTCCCCTCAATATTTTTATGGTTTATACAAGGTAAGGAGGTTATGTTTATTGTGCTCTATGATATCCAAATATTAAGGAAGTTGGTATTTATCCTGTAAATAACTGAGAGCCACCAAACTATTTCAACAAGCAACTACCATAGCCAGATTTGCATTTGGCAGCTGGATTAGAAGCACAGAAGATAAATTAGAGGTGGAACTGTGCCGCAGTCTGGCTGAGCACAAATCACGAGCCACTGAAGCAGGAACAAACTTTATTTTTAAAC